AAAAAAAAAAAAAAAAAAAAGAAAAAATGAAGAAAATTCTGACGACGAGCTTTCGGGGTCGGAATTTCGCAGAAACGGTCGAAATTTCCAAGAAGTTGAAAGTTCCCAGCTTCACGACGGTGAACTGATCGCGTTGAAATTCTTGAACACAAGTTGCCCCGGCAGATTAATTATGCAGAAACAGAGGATGGTGAATTACAATTCCGGGAAATGTTTACCTCACACTTAGCCAATCGCACGGACGCGTTTACATAAGCGTCGCGAAGGAGAAATCATTTTTACCTGGTGCTAGTTATAAAGATAGATGTTAGCCACGAGTCGCTTTCAAGGATATTAAAAACATCGATATCGCACCATCGCTGCGTTCTCTGTCTTTCGCTATTTTCTGATAATTATAAAGATACCTTTTTTTTTTTTTTTTTTTTTTTCCAAGGGAAGATTCATCCCCTTTTTCGTTTCTGTTTTCCCTGCTTCTGACAAAATCGTCGAGGAAACGCGTGTTTACTTTCATTCGCTAAAAAAGTTCGGTCTGTTTCGGCTGCTTGTTATTTACAAGTTATTCGCCGTTGTTATCTTTCGTTCGTATTCGTAAGTGAAATGAGTTCAAACTCGCTCCTCCTCCTCCTTTTTTCTTTTTTTCTTTTTCTAAAGAATTTGAGACGCGCAGTCTCGTGTTTCCCGTTAGTTTCAAAACGAACACAAATTCCACTCACTAAGAGTTTCGTTTCCTCTGGACAGGCCTGTTGCTTCTCGGCGTCCTTCCCTTCCCTCGTGTCCTTCGTGTCTTTCGCTATGCCCTTAGGTATGGTACCGTTGCTGAGTTTAGGGGTGAAGGCATTCGTGGTTGGTTCCCTGCGACAGTGAAAGACAATGAGAACGGCTTAAATCGTGCGAGATATCGATTTCTGACGCGTTAATGCCTTAGAGATAGAGACAGAGAGAGAGAGAGAGAGAGAGAGAGAGAAACAACAACAACGACGGTACGCGCGGTTGCATCGCAATGGGATATCAATCACGCCAATCGCAATTTCTCACATCCGGCTTGTAATTGTACTTCCCATCGTGGTGTGCCGCGAGTTTTCACGTTTTCTACATTGGACGTCGCAGTATTTCCGATGTCGAGGAGATTTCCAACGAGAATGTTCAATTCTCGAATTGATTTCATTTTTCGCGGTTGTTACAGACTACTAGGATAATTTTTTTCTGAATTACAATCAACACGAAAGGTATTTCAATTTTTATTTACTATATGCTGTTTACTACATGCTATTTTTATTTACTACATTTTTTAGTTACTATATGCTGCGACTACCCAATATAAATAGATTGCGATAGTTTTTAATTTAATTTAACAAGTGATAATAAGTAATTTAATGTGTGAAAATATACGGGCTGGTTTCTAGGCGAAATTTTTAATTTTTGTATTGTACTTAAATAGCAAATGGTATTGTTGAGTGAAAAATAGCTGGAGAATAATTTTTGTTGGATCACGTACAAATGAAGAATATTTTTTTCCTTCTATGTTATTTCATGACTGTCTGCTACAAAAAGGACACATTTTATATATTTGCGAAAGAATAGGAAACGTAAAAATGCAGCCTTTGATAAAATATATAGGATGACTACTGGACAGAATTCTCAATTTTCCAATTTATTTCAATCGCGAATGGTATCGTTGACTGGGAAAATTTTTCTTGAATCGCCATCAATGAAAATATTTTAACTCACGACTGTCAGTTAGTAATCCTTCAAACAAAAGATTCGCTCTTTTTGGATCTCATTTCACGTCTCAATTTAAATTGCCAATCGACAATTTTTCACTGTCACTCGTACAGTTACGCTTCTCCAAATATTAATGTAACAGTCTATGCTCAGCTCTCGTCCCAAACACACAGGGTGGGCCAAACGTTCCTTCCCACCCATTTCTTTCTCTTTCTCAACAAAAAAGTGAAAAAATACAGCTAACCAAAAACCAAGTTCATTCTAAATTAAATTAAAAGCTCAAACACGATTCTTCCACGCTTTAAAAATTAATTCTCACGAACGTTGACCGCCAGATGCGACAAGAAAATCACGAATTTAGGCAGCTTCAGATTTTCGGCCCACCCTGATTGTGTCTTTTCTCGATCGCGGATCGAGATCCATCGAAGAAGATACGAAACAGAGAAAAGAGGGACGATGGAATAACGGATGGAAGAGAAACGGCGAAAGAATGAAATGCCACTTACTTGTCGGCAAGCGTCACGGTAATTTGGTTGCCGGTCACATTTTTGCCTGCGCTGTCCCCGCTCGTGGACGCGACTGCCTCGTTGATCTGCAACACAGAGAAAACACCAAACAATCAAGCTGGCTTGCCTCTAACCGGACGACCGCTGTTACTCGCGGAAACAAAGCGATTCCGGACCACGCTCTTTCCTCGATCGATGCGCTCTTTCTTTCCTCCTGTCCTTTGTTTCACTCTCGCTCGCCCTCTTTCTCTCACTTCCTGTTCCTCATCGCCATCTTCCTCGATGGGAGAAGCCGACCACCACCCTCTCCCGATGCTCGGACTTTTCTTTTTCTTTTTCTCTTTTTTTTTTTTTTTTTTTTTTTTCGAATCTCCAACAACGAGATGATTTGCGGACGATTTGACTCATTGTATATTTTTAATCCTCCTTTTTTGATCCCTCGTCTCGATTTAACACGTTCTTCCTTGGAAAAATGTTATATATCGTGAATTTGTATAATACATGTACATAAGGGTGGGTCACAACTTGGATCACTTCCTACTAATTAAATAAATTCATGATAATTCTGTTAAAGGATTAAAGAAATGATCCTTAAACCATAAATGAGAACTTGAAATCAATAAAATTAGTTTTCTTCTTGACGCTTCGTTTAAAAAGTAAAAAATGAAAGGTGGAATTAAGCAAATTGAAATTAACATTTTTGACATAGAATCACCTCCGTTGGCATGATCGTCAAATCTGAAACATCCACATTCTCTCTATGATGGTATTATAGTAAACTTGTAACGTGACATTTTAAGAAAAACGTGTCAGACTGAGATAAGAGAATTAAAATACACGGATGTGACGAATCAAATATTCGTAATTTATTTATTGTTAATTAAATACATACAAGTTAATTAATATATATATATTATTAATTGTTAATTAAATATATATATATATATATATATAGAGAGAGAGAGAGAGAAAAGAAGAACGAAAATTCTGGCAACGATTTTAGGGTCGCAACCTGTGGAATACAGCAAAACGCGTTACGTGCATTGCGCTATACTGAACCAAGGCCACCATTCGCTCGTTTACTTTGCATTCCACCGATATTACGAGCAACGATGCCGTGACGATTTCCCTGTCAATCGACTCGAGGGTAGCCAGCCGAGCTCCTTTCCACGTGCCGTTTCCATCGGACAATTCGAATTATACTGTTGCACTTGTTCGTCGTTCAGCGGGCGCGCGTTTCCCCCTGATTAGAATGTTTGATAGACGCCGGGGCGAGAGAGACACGCGTGAATGGAATAGGAACTGCATAATTGTTTGTTGAATACAATGGAAACAGAGGGCGAGCGCGATCGGCCACTTTATCTCATCGGCCGATGCTCATCGTACATACATCGGCGCAGAAATTGCTTCCATTCGGAGCTTCCAGCCATCGATTAACCATTTATCCGCGCGATCGCTTCTCTCCAACCTAAGCCCCATTATCTTTCGACCTATTTCTTTTTTGCTATTGTTGCGAGAGAGAGAGAGAGAGAGAGAGAGAGAATAATTCGTTACAGTCCCTGGTCAAAAAATTAGAATTTACAATAGATTTTTCAATTCGTTTTGCATTTCTAGCAAAGAATTCCTGAATTTTTGTCAAGTATCGAAGTATATTGTCTAGAAAATTATCTATCTAGAGAAAGCCTAAATTAAAATATATACATGTATGCAGGGTGACTTTTGTAACTTGTGGGACCCACTGTTACGGGAGCTGATTGTACAAAAATAATGAAAAAGAGTCATATAAACATGTGTATGTCCTATCTGTCTTCGTTTTATGAGATGTAACGAATTTTCTGTTTTAATTACCTTTTACAACAGATGCACGCGTCTTGTCATTCATCTGGTTACTCTCTCTATCGTTGCTGGTGTTTCTCGAATTTGTAGGGAAGCCTTGCTCTATTCTATTTCAGTAGTATTTCAGCATTTTCAATCGACGTTGCGTATACAATAGATTATTAAATGTCCTCACAAATGGAAATCTAATGGATTCAAATCCGGAGAACGAGCAGGCCGTGCAACAGGACCTCCACGACCAATCCATTTGTTTGCAAAGTGTTGATTTAAAAAATTGCCACTCGGCCAAAATGCGGCGGAGCTCCATCATGCATAAATCGCATACGAATAATCTAATATCGACTGGAACTTCCTCTAATACTTCGTGTAAACGCGTGCTCAAAAAATCAACATACTTTGTGTTTGTTAGTTTTCCATCAAGGAAAGAAGGTCCAATTAAAAATTTATCATATATATACGTTTAAACTAAACTGGTGTTGATGTCTTGAAAGCAGAATACATTTTTAGAAATACACTCACACGTTTCTAGAAATTTTACTACGTATTCAATCGTATAAATCATATGTGCCAATTATCAACTATTGCGGTCTATGAAAAGAGAGTTTGCCGGACAGAGAGTTTGCTCTGTTTATAAAATTTATTATATCTTATAAACAAAGACAGATAGGACAGATATTTATATGACTTTTTTTTCCATTATTTTTGAATAATCAGTTCCCGAATTGGGTCCCACAAGTTACGAAACGCCCTGTATATTAGACGTGATAATGTCAATTCTTCAATAATTAATCATTCGTGCTTCCTTCCTCGAAATGTAATAATATAATATTTATTTAATATGTATGTTTATAAAATTTATAAACAGATTTATTCATAAAATTAAAATCTGTCTGTTTCTAATAGTTAATTCTCATCTGTTTCTCATAATAAATTTATTAATTTATCTTTCCCGCAAGTTGATAAATTCGTATATAGTAAAATAATTATTCGTATTAATAAAATATAGTAAAATAAATATAAATGTAATATATTCGTGTAATATATAAGAATAAAACAAATATAAATATAATATATTTATGTAATGAATATATAATAATAAAATAAATTCATATCAATAAAATGATAATTCATATAAAAACAAAATATCGGAAGAATATTACAAGAGAGTATTGAAATTACAAGAAAAGGGAAAGATATGAAACGCAATAATATGCGAATAAGATTAAATAACGAATAAAATTAAATTAAAATCAGATTAAAGTTAAAATACTGAAGTCGAGGATATATTCGTAAAATCCTTCGCAAGCAAATACATTATCGCATTGTACCCGAAAAGTTGAATCATAAGCATTCATACATATGCATTCTAATTTTTTTATTCTTCTACACCTTGAGGAAACCTATTATAAATATATTATATAATAAGTTAGTTATATAACTAGTTGTATAATATATGACTTTACATTATAAATAAATATATTACAAATATATTATATAACAAGTTTTTAATAAATCAAATATCTCGCCCCTTCGGGACGAGATTTTAGTACTCTAATTATTTACTTGTCCAGGAGGTCAGAAAGTCGATCAGACCCGACTCTCGAATGTGTTAATACATTAATTTAGAAGTTAAATCGGAAAAGTTACTTCACCTGCTGGTGCAGAATCGCTTGAATGTCGCGCGGCTGAATCCTCCAGTGAGACGCCAGCCGCTGCAATCGTTCCTTTGCACGCCTGCAAAACAGAATTATTATACTGTACGTTACGTTATCACGATGGGATCTACGTACGATCCTATTCTAATTGAACGAAGGCTAATTGTAACGAGCAGACATTACAGGGATGATACAACCCAAAATTAGAAGCGTAGACGCGTAATAACAACACGTTCAAGTGCCACTGAACTTCACCGTTTAGGAATGATGCCAACATTCCGCTCCGCGAACAATGAAATCAATGTACAACGATGCGAACAGATACTTCAGACTTTAGAACGTTTAATTAAACGGCGCCAACAAACGGTGTGATTACATTCATCTCAGTAACGCGCAAAACTCGTGCGAGGTACTTGGTCGTCAAAACAAGACGACAAATCGATTACGCTTTTTTTCTTGAAAGTTATCACAAATGAAAATCACTGGCTTCACTGTTGCTTAATTCTGGAATTTTCAATTTGATTTAATGTCATCACTGATCTCTGTCAGAGGTAATATAATAATATTATTTTTAAAAAAATCGTGGCTTCATATTCCTTAATTTTCAATTTGATTTACTGATTTGATCTCTGTCAGAGGCAATATAATAAAATTATAAAAAGAAATCGTGACTTTACTCTGCTTAATTTTGGAATTTTCAATTTGATTTAATGTTATTAATGATCTCTGTCAGAGGTAATATAATATTATTTTTAAAAAAATCGTGGCTTCATATTCCTTAATTTTCAATTTGATTTACTGATCTCTGTCAGAGGCAATATAATAAAATTATAAAAAACAAATCATGACTTTACTCTGCTTAATTTTGGAATTTTCAATTTGATTTAATGTCATCACTGATCTCTGTCAGAGGTAATGTAATAAATATTATTTTTAAAAAAATCATGGCTTCACGTTCCTTAATTTTCAATTTGATTTACTGATTTGATCTCTGTCAGAGGCAATATAATAAAATTATAAAAAAAAATCATGACTTTACTCTGCTTAATTTTGGAATTTTCAATTTGATTTAATGTCATCACTGATCTCTGTCAGAGGTAATATAATAATATTATTTTTAAAAAAATCATGGCTTCACATTCCTTAATTTTCAATTTGATTTACTGATCTCTGTCAGAGGTAATATAGTAAAATTATTAAAAAAAAATCATGGCTTTACGTTGCTTAATTTTGGAATTTTCAATTTGATTTAATGTCATCACTGATCTCTGTCAGAGGTAATATAATAAAATTATAAAAAAAAAAATCAGGACTTCACGTTGCTTGATTTTGGAATTTTCAATTTGATTTAATATCATCACTGATCTCTGTCAGAGGTAATATAATAATATTATTTTTAAAAAAAATCATGGCTTCACATTCCTTAATTTTCAATTTGATTTACTGATCTCTGTCAGAGGTAATAAAATTATTAAAAAAAATCATGGCTTCACGTTGCTTAATTTTGGAATTTTCAATTTGATTTAATATCATCACTGATCTCTGTCAGAGGTAATATAATAAAATTATAAAAAAAAAAAATCATGGCTTCACGTTGTTTGATTTTCAATTTGATTTAATATCATCACTGATCTCTGTCAGAGGTAATATAATAATATTATTTTTAAAAAAATCATGGCTTCACATTCCTTAATTTTCAATTTGATTTACTGATCTCTGTCAGAGGTAATGTAATAAATATTATTTTTAAAAAAATCATGGCTTTACGTTCCTTAATTTTCAATTTGATTTTACTGATCTCTGTCAGAGGTAATATAATAAAATTATCTAAAAGCAAATCATATATTTAATATCATTGTCGACCTAAGAGTTAATATGAAAAAACAGAAAATAATTTAAATACAATAGAATTGTGGACAAATGAAGGATTGTTGGATACTATGTTGCATTCAAAGTGGCAAAATGTGGGCCGAGGCCTACAGGGAGGCCCACAAAAGTTCGTATAGAATTAATTTTAATTAATTTGAAATGCTTTTATTAAAGGACACTTTGACATCGCTGTTGTTTAATAATTCGCACTGCCAATTAATAAAATTGCCCACTACCGTATTTACTATTGGTAATAATTCGTCGCAGCGAATACAGAATACGCTTTTTTTGATTTTGCTTATCTCTCCAGTCGATCGAAAGGTTAAACGGTCTCGATTTTTCAATTTCTCAGTTGGCTGGCCAAATAATCGAGACAAAAGTGGCACAGAAGACAAAAGACGATAACTTTATCGTCCATCGTGATTACAAGTGATTTCCATCGACTCTTGAATTCTGTCAGATGTACAACTACACAGGTTTGGTTGGGAAGGAAACGTAGGATGGCCAATACTGCGCGACGTTCCCTTAGCAAACACTGTTACTCTCTTTATTTCCTCTTAACGATCATAGTTCGTAATTACCTTTCGACGGCGATGACCCAAGCTTCTCGCACCCGACCAGCGTTGAACCCGTCCAGCTCTACTGTCAACAATTTCAAAGCAATTAGTCACCAGAACAATCTCTCCCCTCCCTGTTTCATTAATCTTACTTCTTCTATCTCAAATTTCTTTTTTTTTTTTTTTTCCTCATTTGCAACGCTCGCTGTTAGGCCTTGCGTCACACGAGAATGTCGGATTTGCATTCAATCAGCGTTGGCTGATTCGTTCGATTGCTATTCACTGATTGGTATCTTTTTGTAAAGATCACTGTACTCTGCACTCGGAGAAAGTTCTTCTTTTTTGGATGAATTTTGAATTTTATTTTTTTCTAAACGACTTAATTTTTTTTATCTTTATTTTTCTTTTTGATTTTTTTCAAAAACAATTTTACCCTTTTCCTTGCCTTCAGATACTCGAAGAGGAAAAAACGTCGCTTCGAGAAAATCGAAACTTTTTCGAGATGCAAATAATTAATTAATTAATCAATAAGTCGAAAATAATCTTCGAAAATATCCAATATAAAAAGATATTTCGTGCGACACAATCCTAACGGAACATGTAATATTAGATACCATCGTAATTTATTTTTTTTCATTCTATTTAATTATATAATGCATAATACTTTTGTCTATAATTTATTTATTGTTACTGTTTATTTATTTTCATTCGAAAAATTCATCGCTCGCAATGACCGCAGACATAATCACTATCAGTAATAGGAAATAGAATTCACATAGAATATGAAACAATAATATTATTAATAATATTAAATAAAATTAATAATATTAAACAATAATAATATTAATAATATTAAATAAAATTCACATAAGACGACTGAATGAATAGATAGAGCGACAGCACGAATATTTAATATAAATCAATAGAATTTTGAGTCAAATGAAATTCACTCGATTAACTAAATAAAAATTTCATCAATATACTATAATTCGTATTCATGTAAAACGACCATTAACAACAATATCAAATAAAGTTCACTGATCAAGTAAATCAAATTTCCCAGCCGACGCGCACAGATTGCCATTGACAATCGAACACAAAATTCACAGAAACTACTATCATTAAAACAAGAATGACATGAATTAAAATTCACGTGAAGATGATGTCAAGTACCATCGACAACAATTCAGGTAACATTTTACATAATGGGGATCGCCATTTCACGATCGTGAAATTCTCTCGTCTCGCGAATGCAATACAACAACGCACGAACAAATTCTGGTATTCTACCGTTTTCAAGAGTTTCATTCGCGTCGTCGTCGGTCGTCTCCTCGTCGTCTATGAACTTGATGCTGGAGAGGTCGAAGTGCGTCGCGACGTCCTCCGGTTGCTGGTCGCTCGCGAGGAACTCGACAGCAGACTTGGGCCCATCGTCGACCAAGGACTCGTCGACGACGAACGTCTGTCCGTCGAGCCCCGAACGCGACGAGCATCCGCACAGGATTATCCTACGGAAGAATTTCGACATCTTCTCAAGTGGACGTCGACGGATCTCCGCATGCTTCTATAAATCTGTCTTTTCTTTCTTTCTTTTTAGGATGATCCTGGGCGAGTGACAAAACGTTCAACGTTCTCAGTCTTTGAAGAGAGACACTCCACTTACGATCCTTCGAAACGCGTGAATTTTTGAAAATTCGCGATTTTCTTTTTTGAAAAATCTTTTTATCGTCTCGGACTCTGACACTTTTTCTGGGAATTTCTGGGAAGTTTCGATATTTTAAAGCTTCTGAATTTAAATTGCACTTAAATGTAGGAACATTTGCGAGATTTCGGAATTTCTTGAAAATCATGGATTTATCGCTGGCATATTTCTAAGAAATTTTTAAAGTAAAGTAAAGTGAGTAAAAATTAAATAAACAAGTAGCAAAAATTTTTGAAGTGAAGTAAGTAAAAATTTTTTTTTAAAAAGTTGTGTTCCTTCGAAGCTTCTACATTGAATTTTTACGAGCGTTCGCAATTTGGCGAGGGATTTGCTGCGAAAAATTTTTAAATTCACAGTTTATCGCCCAATTCTTTAAGGTTGGATTCATTCAGAGTCACTTATACCTTCGCGGGGAAATTGAAAATTTTTAGGAAATCTCGTCTCTCTAATTCTCGAAAATTCCTGGAGTTCTAAATTTAGTAAAATTGCTACGTATCTACGAGAACTGAAAATTTTACGAGGTCTAATTCTCCAAAATTTCTAGATTCTCAAATTTAATGAGATCGCCGAATCTTCTAGAATTTCTGGAACTTTTAAATTTACTAAAATCACCATGCATCTACGAGAACTGAAAATTTTACGAAATCTAATTCTCCAAATCTTCTAGATTTTCAAATCCAAATTCAACAAACAATCGTGCAATTATTAATTAAATAATTCAAGAAATGATTGTATTATTTAGTAAATGACAAAAATTCAATAAAATCGACGCGAAATTTTTAACGAAATTTTATCTACGAAAGCTGAAAATCTTCCGAAAAACCCTCAATTCCTCCGAATTTATAAATTCCTTCAATCTGCCGGAATCACCGAGTCTTCCGAGAGTCGCCGCAAGAAATTCTATTAAACTCTGTCGAGACCTAAATTTCACTATCGATGTCTAAATTCCCAGCTTCACCACGGGATTTCGTCACACACTTCAAGCAAAAGAAACGGACGAAATTTCACGGAATTTCACCGAGATGTCACGTTTTTTTCATTTTTTTTTTTTTTTTTTTCAACAGCGCCGACAATTTCCCAACAAATTTTCGGCGGAAATCGTCCGAGTCGTTCCCTTATTTATTTCCGCGACATTCCGCGCGACGTGACGCGACGCGACGAGACAGAAGGATGAACGAAAGGCGACGCGCCCCGAGAACCGCACGTGTCGCCGAACCATAGAAAATAAACGCTCGAACCAGGGCTGAGGATGGATGGCACCGCGAGTCTACCAAGAGGTTTATATTTGGAACCATACACCGGCACTCACCGTGGTAAAAATCAACCGCGAGACCTGGGTTCGACGCACTTTAACACCAATGCCAATGAAATCGTTAACCTTTTGCCCACATAAGGTAGACATTCGCATCGTCGTAGTTGTAATTGGGCAGTCGATCGATAAAAATTCTTTTAGACAATTAGTTTGATCTGATAAATGAAATTAATCGTCGAAAAATCGGCGAATCGACGACTTCACCGACAAATAAATAACTGATCGTCGATTAACACTGAAAGATGTCGAAGATGATCAATATTTATGATCTTAGGTGTAAAAAGAGTGTATTGTTTTAGAGAGAGATGTTTAAATGATTATTTGGGAAATATATAAACAGTCTTCTGTGGTCTATTGTAAAGTTTTGTATATAAAATTTATGTATAATATAATTATATATAACATATATTATGTATAACATTGTATTTTATTATGTATAACACTGTATATAAAGAATATACGTTGTATTACAAAATTTTGCATTATATTGTACATTGTATCTATTTACAAAATCTTTATAAACTGTGTTCAATACAAAAATGTTATGTTCTGCATTAAATTTGTATTATAAAGTTTTTCGATTTCTCTTACTGGAATGTCCTTGATGGAAATTTTGTGCTTCGTCGGTAGTTTCTAGTGTTGAAAGAAATTAATTGTCAAAAAGATCATCACAAATGAAATTAATCCCAGTTGATTACAAATTCTTACTTACAATTGGATCGAAACAATGTACTTCGAAATCGTGAAAAAAAGTGTGAAAAACATCCTGCTTTTGCGCTTCGTTCAACTGTTCAACCCGTTCTATAAATTCGATTGTACGAAACGAGTCAAACCGTACTTCATTTAACCATTGTTAAAGAAAAAAAGAAAAAATAATAATAACAGATACAAAACTCTCTTTTGTTCATTATTCCACCGTTGTCGTAATCAATCGCGATGAATCAGTGATTGCACGTATCATATTTTATATATGATTCTATATTTTATACATGTCTTTCAACAATTAATTTCTTTCAACACTAACATTATCGACGACTGAAGCACAAAATTTCCATCAAGGACATTCAGGTAAAAGAAATCGAAAAACTTTATAATACAATTTAATACAGAATATAATATTTTGTATTTTGTAACACAAATTTTATAAATTATTTTTGTATTTATAACATTTTGTATTTATAAATTGTATTTGTAACAGAATCTATAAAGATTTTATAAATACAATGTACAATATAATACAAAATTTTCTAATACAACATATATTTTTTATGTACAATTTTTACACATAACGTTTCATATTTTATTCAACTGCATCGCACAGAAATGAATCAATTGCCACACACATGTACGTTTCTCTATTTCGTCTAGTTACTTGTTACGAACAAGAAAGAAAGAAAGAAAGAAAGAAAGAAAGAAAGAAAGAAAGAAAAAAAGAAAAGAAAAATTACAAAAATTTACACTTCACTCGACTCACTGTCCGCGCGAAATGAACGAGCAATCGTGAAACCTTTCTATCCGTTAAAACGAACCTACAACTTGTCCACCCCTTTTCGCTTCATTCAACCGTTAACAAACCAAATGGACAACCTCTTTCAGCCAAGAAGCTAAGAGACACGATTTTGTCGCGTCGGGTGTTGCAGTTTCGTAGACAGAGGGCTAGGAACTGGCGGAGAACTAGAATTTCCCGAGGAGCAGCCCACTGACCCGAAAGCGAATTTCGAGTTTCAGCAGGGACTTTCATTATTTTCGCGGGGGGTTCACGAGCCAGCGAGCAGCCCCTCGGAATAATGGAATCGCTGCTATTAAATTAAATCGTCCCCCCCTCGCGATACGCAATCCCGAAATTATTTTATCTCGACGAACGATCTTTTATCTGCCGCAGTCGCCGCGTAAACTGCGAAATTAAACCTATCCTCGCCCCCCTCCCCCCTTCTTTTGATGATTAATCAATTTCATCCACGAAAATGGCACGCGTGACTGGCAGTGCGTCCCTATCATCTTCAAACAGCTCTTCAGATAGATCGCGGGTACACAAAGTTCGGCAGGAGTATATGAATCGACGAAATTTTTC